GCTTTCAAAAATAGCAATTGCAACATCTCTGAACCGCTGGTTCTTCACTCTGCTCAATATTGCTCTTTGTAAGGAAACTTTTATTCGTGTTTTAAAGATAGGTTTTTGCACACAATTTAGAAAACACAGCTTGCTTGTTCGGAGTTAAATCCTACAAGCCTTTTGTAAATAAACTTTTATAATTCTGTTGTGATCCACTGGAAGGTTTTCAACACCAAAGCTCCTCAGATTTCATCCACATCTTTGTCCCTTTTCAAGACACTAAAGCCTTTTCTGTGCAGAGCTGATGTATTGTGTAGAGGGTGTACTAGGAGGGCAGAGTCCCACAGGTTGCTGACACACCTGTGGGAGGCAAGCCGTCGATTTATTGTACCAAGACATGTCAGGTGTATTGGCACAACCTTCCAGAAGCGTTTCTCTCAGATTTTTGAAGTCACTGCTCAGCTATCCATGTTCTCAGCCACTTCAGGTTATTTTTGCTTGAATTCTACTACACAGGTACTTATTTAAGTACTGATTGGAACCCATTTTTCAAAATATCCTTTCATGAAGACGCCAGTTCAAGAGGATAGGAACTTCCTGGCACACCTGTGAACCCAAGGTCCACCCGGTCAGGAGGGGCAGTTGGCAGGTTGTGCCTGGCTCCTCCGATGCTGCTCTGCCCCGAGCAGAGCCATGAGGAGCAGAGGAGATGAGCTGGTGGAGGCCACGCTACATGGCCAAACCCTGCTGAAGTCCCCCCCAAAACCCCCAGGCAATCACATGGTACCATGTGAATCCAAAAAAGGGCTCTTCCCACCCCAGGCCAAGTGATTTCTGGTGCAGCCCTTTTCCTCACTGTAGCTTCTTGATTTATATTCTAAAGAAATAACCTAAACACATACTGTAAATTATTTTTTTAAAAAAAACATACCATCTTTAAGCAAAGTTTCCAGTTCCCTCAGTCACCATGATTTCATTTGTCCTTTTTTTTTTTTGTGAACAGAACATCACGCTCCTCACAAGAGTCAACTGAGATTAAGTTGTGAAGCAAAGAATTACGGCACCATAAATAGCAGCAAACTGGTTTGTCAAGGCAATGGTTCAAGTACCTGTTACCAAGAAAACTGTTTTTCCTTTAAGAAATCACTCAAACCTGCCCGCACAGCTGGTAAGCATGACAATTTGTTCCACAGAAACCACCAGGTTAAGAAACCCTTCGGTAACACTGATATTTTGGGGTAAATTCACAGGTCTGAGTTTGTTGTTAACATGTCTCACCCACAGCAAATTAACTTCTCAAAACCTGTGCAAGTGCACAATTTTTTATTTTTTTTTTTAACATGCATTTCACTGGCTTTTATTTAAGCTTCAAATTAGTTTATGGACTCAGTTCATTAATTGAATAGATAAGTCTCTACTTCCCTTAAAATCAGCAAGGCATCACTTGCTACAGGCAGCGGTTGACTTATTTTGCTACAATGGAATACCTGGTGTGTGGGCACTTCTCCATGTTCATGCCTCCCGTCTCAGTAACTATCTCAGCCCCTCTAATTAAAACCTTCCCCAGCCTGAGTTAATGGTAAACTTAACAAAAAATTTGTCCAAACCAGACGCAGTTGTACCTGTTGTCACTGAAGTTCAGATCCTTCTGAGGGAAAGGCCACGAGCTGCCTAATGCTATATAAAACACGTTTATGAATTTTTTAGGTGTCTACTGAAGTTCTGGAGTTATTAGCTCATCTTCACAAAATACGAACAGAGCATGCTGAATTAAAACAAAAAACCAAAAAAACAAAAAACCTGTATTTTTTTTCTTTCCAAACCTTTATCCAGAATTGATGGCAGCCAGTTTTGCAGATGGTGTGTGTGCTTTGAGAACTATTCCTTTTAGTAGTTTTCTGTGAAATTCTTAATCCACATTTTAAACTGCCACTTCAAAGAAAAAATGTGATTGTGCTTAAAAGCAATATGCGTTGTGTGACTTCATAAACAATCCTGCAGCTGTAGGTTAAAAAAAATTAAACGGAAAGATTTAAGAGCCAGAAGAAAACCCACAACGCACATGATAATGAAACATTTTAAATGGGCTAGGTTTGGCCTAAACCCAGTATCAAAGTATTTTACATGGATGATCAGTAAGTTAAACTCTTCTTTAAGTGACAGAATACAAGCCAACGCTCTTACACACCATCTTTCCTCACAAAACCTTAAGCACGGAAGAAAACCCGAGAGGAAAACATTATCCTGTTGTAGCATTTTAGAGAGCAACAACTTTAAACTATTAACTGGTAGAACAGGTTGATAATTGCCAGCCCCACGCGAGCTACCAGTATCTCTGTAATCCTCCTCAGCTTTGTTTTCAAGAGTCCTGCTGGCTTCAGCTTCTTAAATCCACCCTTGTCCTTGTTCCTTCTAGCAAGGCTCAGGGAGCAGGGCTGTCATGTGCCTTGCTGCCAGCCACCACCCAGCCTTCTTACCTTTATTTCTGCACACTAGCTGCCATTACTGTTTTCAAAAATTTTTTGTGGTAAACAGCTTCTTAATTTCCTGCCACATTTTTCTTTTCCTTTTCTTTCTATATTTAATTAATATAAGGAGTATTTTATGATCCTTTTGTAATGGAGACCTAGACAAAACAGTAAAATCTTATTACCCTAAATTATATTAAAAAAGGCTGGTTGTGGCAGGCTTAGTGTGCAATGCCAGCAGCATCCAGTAACAGAAGTAAACAACTGTGGAGCTGTGGGCAAGGTCTGCAGGTGAATCATTTTTGCTTTTTGGCCAAGACTCAAGTAGTTATCGAGAAATTCTCTTTGGCTTACAAAATCAAATATTCTCAGACTTTATCTCATAACTTAATCTTCTGTCTAGATTTCAGTTATCCTGTATATTAATATGTTCATTATTTTCAAGTATTGTGCTTAGACATTTCCTATTGTGTAAGAGCAATATCCCAGACCAAAAAAAAAAAAAGTCTTAAGTCATTGTGTCAGATAGAATTTGATTAAAATAAAGTTACCGACCATTAAGCAGAACTATATTTTAATTTAATAATACGGGATTTAATGCAAGCTATTGTTTAACATGGTTTATAGTCCACTCTAGAAGAAATTGATGAGGTAATGCTAGCAGACAGCTTGAGAAAAGTCAAGGATACCACGACATTCCAAAAATCTTACTGTCTCCCGAGAACATTTTTTAACTCTGACATCAACCATCTAATAAAATCTGAATCCAGCAGAGGTCTTGTGAATGCATTCGAAGTAATTTGATGCAAAATTATCTCCAAGACAGATGAAGTAGGAAAAAACTACTAGTTTTGGCTTAAAGATTTTCAGGAAAGTAAATCTTTGGAAATATACCTGACCTAGCAGCAGTGCAGATCAAGAGCTACTAGAAAATTGTCTAGTGTGACCAACACTAAGAAAACCTAACTAATCATGGTTAAAACTAGCCACATTTTTTTTAAATAATTTTCTAAGCAACAGATTAATTTTGAAGTTGGTTACAAACCAGACACCCAATCAGAAGATCAGGAAATAATAAAGTCAGGATTTGTTTCATTAGGTGAGATGCCCTAGAATGTTTCTTCTGATGCTCCTTTTTCTCTGTATAGCATTACTACTTCAAGTTTACATATTTTAAAAGGAATTCTTTCCAGACATTGCTCTTGAAACTGTTCTTGAGGAGTGTGGATTTCTGGATTTTATGTGAAAATAGTTATTACAGTTTGGAGAGCAAAGTGTCAATCACTCTGCCCCATATAACAAGTGAAAGGCCTTGGAAAAGTAGAAAAACCTTAGAATTGATTTTACGGATCCATATTGGGTATCTAGTTTAAAAAAACAAAACAAAACCAAACCACAACACAAACCAACCCCCCACAACAATAAGGCTTTCTATTTAAATGTTAGAGACTCACATTTAAAACTTTAAACCTGCATCTCTGACATGAATCTGGTCAGTGTACTGAAAGCAGGCAGCAGCTTTCCCTCCCCAAGGCCACAATTGCTCCTTGAACCATTAAGCATGATTTTTTTGATGAAATCCATATGATTTGATCCAGTTGCCTACACTTAATTAAGTTGCACGCTTAGTTCGCATTCAAGCAGCTTATGAAACTTCTGCATGGTTAGAGAGGCACAGTTGCAACATTATTTGCCGGATTACCAGGCAGAAAATGTTAACGTCAACAATGGATTTGAAAATTACACAGAATTTCAAGACTGAACAGGTAGATAGGAGGCAAAAATCTAGCACGTCATCATCAGTGTCCAATCTTCACTCAAACCCACTGAGGCAACATGTAAGAATGTTGTTTTAATTGTATTTTTTCCCCACCTTCCCTAACTGTTGTTGGCTGGGTTTTTGCTAAGTTTTCTTGTTTTAAATTGAGATTTTCACTGAAAAACTAAAATAGTCATCCGTTACTAAAGAAAATTAAAATAAACCAACCCAAGCTTTCTCCAAATAGGAAGTTTACCCACAAAACCTGCCATTTCTGCTATGAAAAAATCAAGTTTACTATAGTGGAGATACAACTCTACACGCCAAATTTCTCACACTGACATTTTATGAGAGGTTTAATATTTTAAATGTATCAAGTAGTTGAGATTATGGAAGATGTTTATTGTCATCTTGGGACACTGCATAAATCACAACAGTTCATTTTTTGTCATAGGATCATACTACAACATTGAAGAAAGTCCATAAAAATCCAGTCTATGTGCAGCTAAGAGCGTAGGGATCTATAACTGGAGGAGCTGTATCATATTTCTGGGTGAAAGTTAACCACGAGTACTATGTACTCGGGCCATCTGACCTTCAGTGCTATTATGTTTCTTGAAGTACTCAAAGCTCTTGAGGCGAGGAATGAAGTTGCAAACAAGACCTAAATTAAGTGTTGGCCAAAGCCTGTACTTCGAAGCACAGCACAATTTTCAGCACATCTAGCTTGACTCCTCCAGTATTTTTCCACTTAATGAGCAAAGGTATTACTCTGTTAAAGAATTACTCACCCAATTAGGGACACCATCTGCTCCACTATATGTTTGCTGAATGTTATAATAACGAACAGTTTCTGTAGGAAGGAAAACACCAGTTAGAGAAACATTTGATCTGAAGGGAAGCAGAGACAATGGGGTACAACAATTGATGTTCCTTTCCAATCAGACAGCTTCTCCAGTACTCAGTTTTCCCTTCTCTTCTCTTTCAAGATCTTTTATTTTTTCGATACTCTTCAAAAAGAAGCAGGAGAGAGCAAAGCCGTTTACTTTATTATTCTATTTCCTCACAGACTTCATTTCTTGCAATGTTTTTGTAGCCTGTGTTACTAACATTCGCATCCTCCCCAAACTTAAAATTCCCAGAAGCTCAAGGTCACTTTACTCCGTCAACAACGTTTTAATGGAAAAAGTCATCACTGTGCACAAAAATTCACATCCCCTTACACAAACACATGTACTTAAAGCTCACAGAAGTGAAAAATAATGTATCTTTTACTCCCTTAGTTGATGTGCTTCAGACAGAAACATAAAAAATACTTAGTGAAGAACAAAGTAAGAGCCACTGGGTACGTGTGTCTGTGTGAAAAACAGACTGTCACTCTCAAATGCAACAGACTATTTGGAAGAGTAATTTCAATAAGAGAAACTTATTGTAACACATAGCTTTTTTTTATTTTTTCCCCAGAAAATCCAAATGTCCGCAATTATTTTTTTTTTCTAGCTTATTCTTCCTTCTCTTCTAACATAATTAAAAATTTTGTTAAAATACCCTTTGCTAATTCTACTTTTGTCATATTTGACAGCTTGTTCATTTGCAAAGAGCGAGCAAGACGGTGTGCAGATGTGTACACACACACACACAAACAGTTCCCACAGTTCAAACATGATCTAACGAGAACTGCAGTCACTAGTCTGGAAAAAAGGGATGTGACTAGAACTACACAAAATGATTTTGTGGTCCGGAGGAAGAGGCCAGTTAAAAGCAGTTCCAGGATGGCCACTGTACCAGAGTCACTCGCTTCCTGTCTAGAGAAAGATTTAATTAAAAGCCTTTTCCATGACTCTTACATTTCCTAAATCCCAAATTGCAGCATTATCATTACAAAAATCAAGGCTATTGCACAAGAGTACGCTTGAAATCCAGCATCGCAGAAAAGAGAACTCCAATAGCTAAACATATTACAAAATAAGATGATTTACCAACTGCGCAAGACACTGGGAAATATTTTTTCACTTACATTTGATCTGAGTGTGGAGCATTATAAATTACATAGTAAACAGTCTGCTAAACAAGACAAATAAAATAATCAAAGAAATATTACACAAATACTATTTCACTTTTCCATGTTGCCAGAACGAATTCTAACAGTACGCTGAGTTAAAAGCAGAAAGATTAAGGTAATGGAGAAAAAGTTGTTCTATCACAGTAAATAAGAGAATTTTCTGTTTAAGGACTGTTCAAAGTAAACCAACCATTTACAAAAAGACGGGATTTAAAAAAAAAAAAAAGGGTTGAAGATGGAAACCTTCAGGGCAAAAGAAAAATTTTTAAGCAGCTGATGAGGGTAATGGGCAAGTAATTTTATACCACTGATAGCTTCTGCTGTTTTAATGTAGTGACAAAAGATTTCCAAGCAAGACGGCTACAGGCATGGCACCAGTTCTGTGGGGATGCTGAAAAAAAAAAACCCCAAGCCCCAGCTGAAAATAGTGGTTCTAATCCTTACAAATAGAGGATGATGTGGTTCGTGACACAGCACTAACCACACTGCCACCGGTACAGAATCACCAGGGAACCAATACTTCATCTTTCAGGGGACAAAATGGTGACACATTTTAAAAGCAAGACTCCAAAGTTTTAACAGCAACTGGGGATTCTGATCGCCAGATTCAGAACATCCAGTAAGGCTCTGCGTTAGCAAGGAAAACTGGACACGCTCTGAAATCAGGCTCTTATAAAATAATATAGACTGAGGACACCAAAAATTTCCAACTGTGCTGGAAAACGATGGACAACACGCCCTGAGACGTACCCTCAGATGCCTTGTGCAGGGCCTGGGCGTGGGGTTTTCTCTGTACATTCAACACGGATAAAAGGGAGCAATTAAAAGTGCTGCTTAACCAGTAAAGGCTAGTTGCAGCGCTCTTTGAAATGAGTATTTGTTACCAAAAAGGCAAGTTCATTATGAGTACGAAGTCCTTTCAGTCTGGTAAAAACCCTAGGTAAATAACTTGGCTAACCACCAATTTCCTGAGTGGTGTAGGCAGCGAGCTCATTAGTTTGTAGCTATAAATTATTCAGTTGCCTCAGTTTTGAGCACACAAAGCCTAGCAGATCCTTTATTGTAATACCTTTGCACCAAATTAATTTCCATTACTTCAGGTCAGGAAGGGAGACTCCACAATTCATTACAAAGTAACACAGTGCAACAGTCAAATAAAATAAAATAAAATAAAATAAAATAGTGGTCTTCACCCCAGAGCCTTAATAAAGGAGCTGTAGTACTTGCCTGGATGTGCATTTTAATTACTGCTTTCCCAATCAAGGTTGCACCAAAGAAGGTCCAGAAAGGAACCAGAAAGTGTCCACATGTTATCCCGGCCAGGTCAAACAGAGGGTTTGGAATCTATGAAGTGCAGGGGAAAGAAGTTCTTGAATTGCAGCACTCACTCAGATGAACATGACTTTGAAACGTTGAAAAAATGAACATTTTCCCCTTATTCAACTTGATCCAAAACTCTTGTGTCTTAATACTTACAAAAATGTTAATGTCGCACCACATAAGTCTCTGGGATTCAGCTAGACAATGTCCCAGACAATTCCATTCTCATGGTCCCTTTCTTACCCCTGGATTTTAAAAAAGCTAACAGAAAGTTTTCCATGTGAAATGCACAGAAACCACAGTAAAGCCATTTTGAATGATTTATCAAGTTTTCTCACTGACAAGCACATCACTCTTGGAAGCCAGTGTCCAAAACGATCCCCAGTGATTTCCATTTGAGAAAATACATTAAAACTGGCATTTATAGTCATATGTATCCAGTTTAAGAGCACTGATTAGATTTTATTAACCATATGCGTTTCATTTAAAATTAAAAGGGGTTTTTTTTTATTATTATTATTTTATTGTTAAAACCGTTGGCTTGACGTTTGGTATTGTGACACTATCTGTAAAATATTTTTTGACATTAAACCAAGAAAGTAACCAAATTCCAACCTTTCACACTTCTCATGCTGCACAAGGGCAGACTGTCTGGGTGAACACGCGGGGCAAGTGTGATTCACAGTAGCAGTGTATTACTGGGCTAATATCCTGCAGTATTTGTCTTGTTTTGTTACTCAAACAAACAAATAAATAGCGTGGATTGTTAAAGACCATCTAGGACAGCAACTCTGCAACTGACTGAATGGAAATCTGAAATCTGTGAGAAAGCTTATGAGGGTTATACTTAGCTGCTACAGACTAGCAATTCAAATTTATGAGCACCCACAGCACCACCTGCAAAGGAAGAAATCTGAAACGGTCTCTAACCATGCCCCGAAACGGTCTCTAAACACGCTCCCCTTCAACTAAAATGATTCTTTACCTCTGACAGCTGTCTTAGGCATAGGAGGCTAGTAAATTATTTACTTATACCACAGCCAGATAATTTTGTTCTTCTGAGCCAAGTCTGCTCTAAGTCTCAAGCATGTTCTTTGTTGGTTGGTCTAACATGTTTTGTTGGGGTTTTGTTTGTTTTTGTTTTTTTTTAAGTTCACAGTAAATTTTAATTACTGCATTACTATCACCATTGGGGGAGCAACACACTCTAGGTGGGGTAACTGTGAAGGTCATCAGTACATTAAACATATCACACTAAAAAGTTACTCAACAAGTCCACATCAGGATATATTAGCAGGCCCGTGAGGTTTTCTGTGTTTTTGAAAAAAACACATACACATGGCACTGAGAGTTGCCAAAAAAAGCCCACAAAGGCAGGAGGGCAAATTCTCACAAGTCACAGCAAGGATCTTCCAGGGCTAATTCTTGCTTTGTTTCCTCCCCAGAGCTGCCTTTCCATAGGAAATAATCTCCAGACAACAATATGGCTTCTTATTGCCACTAAACAACATTACACTCAGTTGATTTCGCTGAATAAACTTGCAAAGTTTTCAATTCAATTCGATTGTGTTTTTATGGAACATTTAGAAGCCACTGCTCGCTAGACCACCACCTGCAGCTGGGACAGTCATTGCCATTTTACAAGTTCCCTAATCAGACAAAATACACCCAACAAAAACACTCTTTAAAACCCCAAAGTAAAATCTCAGTTATAAGAGGGGAGAAGTAAAGGAGACACCTTCTAGCACACAGAGAACCAGCTACAAGCAAGAGAAGCCCTGGAACAAAACCCTGAAGCTCATGGGGGAACACATGTGGAGGGCTGCCCTCCTCGCAGATGCAACAACAATAAAAAATTACATGGCTTTGAATCCGTGTGCTTTTTCAGTGCCTCACCCTTTTACTGCTACTCTGCAGTTAATTCTGTAAACACATCTACAAATCCCCAAGTGTACTGTGGTGGATTCATGGTTCCTCATCCCTCCCCCAACCAGGGCAGCCTATATAAGCAAAAGGAAGCTGGAGCTCAGAGTGCTCTGTAGAACAGGGCAGCAAGTAGGTAAGAAGTTAAGCAAATGTTGAAGTATTACTAAGCAGGAACTACGAAGAGTTTACACATCACCTCTCGTGTTTACCAACTCCTTTCCTCACGGTCTCCATTTATCCACAGTTCCCCTTGTCCAGCCGCTCCGGTAACTCATCCCTGTCATCTACAAGCTGTTGTTCTGATCACCCAAGACAGAGAGACCAGCCTATGCAGGGATGGCTCACAAGATGGTGACTAGAGAGCAATGAGTCAGAGACAGCGAAGGAGCAGCCCACGAGCTTAGTGGACGGAAAGGTTTAAAGAACAGCTTGTAACCTATGTCTCCACTCTAAATATTAAGACGGTTCAAAAGGTTAGTAAATAGAGGTTGTACGCCAGCAACTGTAAGCAGATTAATTCTTTCCAGCTAACACAGGTTACTTACATTTGAGTATTTACCTTTGAGCACTGTCAGCTCTACGATTTTGGAAACTAAGAGATGCTAGAAAAGTGTGCAATATCTCATCAGCGGAGCAGCTGGCTAATGGCTGTGGTTATTCCGGCAGAATTGGATCATAGGGGACCTTCCTCCTTCACTCTAATCACATTTCTGTGCATCACATCCCACATTTTGTGTGTGGGATGGAAGAATAAGGCACACCATTCCCACTGGTTTTCACTAAGCTTCCAGAGAGAGGTTTAAACCTCCAAGGGTTCAAATCTTTTTCTGCTCCAGAAGAACAGTATTATCCTACTTAAAATACTAAAATAATATCAGTGGAGAAGCCTGCGGCACCTATTGCTTAGGGAGAAAAAAGCAGCTACAAGTAGTTTGTTAGTTATATAGCCATGAGGCTCAAACTTGCTTCCTCACTGTGTGCACTCTGGTTCCTAATGACCCAAAGAACTCTCCTGAGGGGACTGAGAACTGCTACGTAAGGAGACCCCCGTCAGCATTTATACAGGTAGCTCTCCACTCTTCAACCTGTGCCTAACTTTGGATTTGAAGGTGTCAGGGACTGTAAGCTGCAGTACATAAACACCTCAAGAAATTACTATACGGTTCCAGCAGAACCTATAGGTAAGAATAAAGCTCTTGTTGTATCTTGCTAGCTCATAAACTGGGCTGGGAAGGACCCAAGAGAGTAACTGTCAGTGGGTGTAGGATCTGACCTGCCAAATATCCAGGAACACAGAGCAGTGAGCGTCAGAGAGGACACGGCCTCAGCATCAAACGCCGGGAGCATCCCTCTGGAATTTTAAGAACGTCTTAGTTGGGTCTCTTGTCACTCTTCCTTACTGTGTGCCAAGCCTTTTGCATCTTTAGTGAAGCAACCTGGTTTTATCAGGTTACCCCACACCATGCTGAACTACAGAGCTGTTAGAATTGACTGTGTTTGGTACTAATCTAGGACTGGAGTTTCTCCGTGCTGTTTCACCAGTTCCACAACCATCCCCAGTTCCCCCAGCACCACAGAGAACACCGAAACAGCAAACAAGGCAGGAAGATCTCCGTATGGACTCAGAGGAAACCAAGTCACAGTTCACAGCATTAATTTCACTGCGGTACATTCAATCTGCAATTTGTGATTATAAACCCCTCTGTTACTGAAATGGACTTACTGAAGCACAGGCCAAAATGCCAAAGAACCCAACTTTCTGCACCAGGTTCTGGACAGCCAGTTTAGCCCGGGAAGCAAAATCCTGCAAAGAAGAAAGCAAAGTATTAATAAAACAACTCTCCAAAATGAACAATACCTCAAAATGTATGTGACTTCAATATCCTCCGTGCTTCAGGATTTCCTAACTAGCAACTGGGAGAATTTTTAAAACAAAAAGGCCAGTTTGGAACTCTGGGCTTAGAGGGAAGAGAGAGAAATTCAGAGTGGTCAGTGTGAACATCTGCCCACCTCCATGTATTGAATTTTGGTTTTCCAACTCTGCAAGTGGCACTGAGTTCACACTGCTATGGAAACTGGTTTTCTAGTATTTATTTCCCCATATTTTTGAAATGCCAGTGCTGCTTATACCTTGTTCCTTAAGCAAGCCAAGGGAACAAATTCCTTCAATACCATTTACAATATTAAAAAGGTACTTTCTCAAAACACAAAGGCAGAATTTAATGATCCCATTACATCCTTAGATCTTTTTCTCTCAAACCCAGGATCTTAATCAAAATAGCTAATTCCAGGCACTCTCTACAATAGACTTGTAAAGTTCATTAAATCCACAGAACTGAATCCAAAATATTTTAAAAGCAACAAAAGGTGGCAGACCATAAAACATCTGAGCTCTTCTTTACAAAGCCATGTTAAGCACAGGCTGCCTGCTTTTATTCTGTGATCATAACTTCCAAACACACTCATGACAAACTCGGGAGCCTCAGAGCTCACCCAATACACAATAAACACTTTAAAAAACAAAAATAAAGATTCTCAGAGCAGTTTATTTGAATGTCAGAAATGCATTTAGAGGAGAATAGAATTCTTTTGAAGCAAAACTGTCTAAGAAGTTGAAGTGGGGGTCAGTATTATCTATTCAGGCCTGGCAACAGCAGTTATAGAAAGCTGAGTATCTTTGGAAGTAAAAAGCTTTAAAAAGTAATTATTTTAATAATTACTATTTTAATTAAATTATTTTTTTTAAAGTGTACAAATAAGCAGTAAAAAGCTGGTTTTCCAGCAGCAATGCAATATTCACTGATTAACATTCTGCAGAAAACTATGAGATAAATTTCACAAGGAAATTGCTTTATTCAATAATTAATGACATTCACTACTGAAGTATAGGATTTAGAATATTATTAATTATTGATGAAAGCAACTACAAGATAATCTAAAAAAAATTTAAACCATTTTAACTGTTACAATCCTGTTGAAACCCTCAATACTATACACCAGTGCAAGTAAATTACAATTACTTGACAATGTTCTTATACATCATTTAAATTCTGAACTATAAAACTGACATAATTTTCTATGCCAGATTAAAAAAAAAAAAAAATCTGTGATAAAGCCATTTATCTTTTTACACTCCTTTTTAAAGTAGTAACTTTTCTCTAGTACAGTGCTTTAAAAATAGTTAAATTCTCAAATTAAAAAAAAAAAACAAAAACAACCAAATCAGAATAATTCTATTTACCATGCTTCATGTTTGAAAATATAACCTAAATTAAAACAAGCATTTCAACTTAAAGTGCCAAATAAATGAGTTTTCCTACATCTTACAGTGGGACATTTTTAGCCACAAGAGAATATAGAAGATTCAATAAACTTTCTATATTAAACTTTCTATATCTTTTCTATTCTTTAACTTTCACCAGGAGTAACGTCTTGGGATCATGAAATGTCTTACTGGAAAAAAGACTAGATGAATTATTCACTCTGTTAAAAACTTGTTCCTGCTATTTTTCTGTTGAACTCCTAGGATACATACAGTGTGCACGAGTGATTAAAACCTAATTCTAGTGAGGCTGACACCAAACACTTGAACTGCTGTTAGTAGAAACTGGTCTAGAACACACCTACATGACAACTAAAAAGATGATTTTTTTTTTTTTTGGTAAAGGAGTGCAATTTGACACAAATTGTTATAAATAACAACACACGACGTTCTATTAGTGAACCAAGTCCAAAAATCTTGCAGCATCGAGGGCAGTTCCTTCCCAAACTAAAACTCCCTCAATTATTATTTCCAAGTTAATAAACAAAAGCGACACAAGGCAATATCTGATCACTAATAGGGGTCAGTACTGATACACACATTTAGTCCCACTGAGGATTTAGAAACTGAAAAGGAGGCAAGACTCTTCTGCAGAGTGTGATCACACAGCTAGCAACAAAGGAAATAAAATTTAACACACCAGGGAGACAACAGGTATTCCGATTCCTTCACCGAATACCAAAGTAGAAAAGTAGAATTTCTCTACCAATTAATTTAAAATGAAAAAGTGTGCTCAAGTGTAACATTGTCCTGCCAACCACAGATTTTGTTCTTTGCAAAGGTGAACTGAAATAGCAGTGCCTTATGTAGGAATTTCTTAAGATGTCTCCCCCTGTACTCTGCAACAAAGCTGAATGTGACCGTGATCATTTTCAGTTCCTATTTTGTTCACCATTTCACAATGCTCACGGGGTTACAACAATTTTCACTTTTATAAGCCAACAATTATTGTTTGGTTTTTTTTTCCACAGCTCCATAGACTCAACTATCTTCAGCACAAAACACTACAATCCCATTATTCCAACAGGTCCATGATATATTTCAATGGAAGTTGTTTCTATTCTAATTTTAACATATTGACCCTCATCTCAGACTGCATTGCTAGTACGTTCTTGTATTAATTTTCACAAGCTGGAATTGCAAACAAACTCTCTAGCAAGTGACCTATAAACTAATGCTTGCAGCACAGCTGGTTTAATAAAATATACTATTATAATTATATATGGATTGACTGCATTACTGTAAGCACAGTGCACCATTTTTCATCAAATTTCTTAAAAATAAACAGCTCCCCTCAACAACATTTTTAGACTGCTGCAAAATGCAAGTCTGCCTTAAAGTGAATATCTTCCCTCCAGCTAAAAATCAAACAATTTTTGTTATAAAACCAACGATGAAAGTGTTGAAAAAAATGTAATGAGCTTGTCTCAAAAAGAAAAAATCAAAACCCAAACCCAAACCAAAAAACAACCCAACCAAACACCCAAACCAATGTTGGGGCAATTCTTCTCACCTTATTAATTCATAATTTTTTTATTTTTAAAGTTATTGCTCAGTTTGCTTCTTCTTTAAGTTTTTTTTACATTCATTACCTATGACAAAGTACTCGATGGAAAGCACAGACACAGTTCTAAAAATTCCAGTCAAGAACTTCTAATTTGTCTTTTTCTAACTTTCTAAATAAGACAAAACATATATTCAGGGTTTTTTTTTTTCCCCCCCTATTTTCTATTATCTAATGTAATCATAGCTAGGAATAATTTCCATGGCTATATGCACATCAGGGTTGCAACAAAACTATATTTGCAGTCCCAACATTTAATTTAAAGAAAACAAATTCAGAACTACTTCTGTTCGGTTGCTTCCTTAATTTTTGCTTGTCCAATCTTTGCGACATCTGCAATAATAAAAAAACCTTAAAAGTTTCATTTCTCAGAGAATACAAGCATCAGTTTCACAACTTTTACCTATTTCACAATACAATTTTTTTCTTTTATAAGCCTGCACAGGGAACAATCTTTTCTCTACTTCTTTAAGCATTTGAAATAAAAGCAAAGCAACTTTCATAATGTACTACTTTAAAAAAAATAAAAAAAAAAGAAAGAGAAAAGACATAAAAGTTCAGCTACTTACAGGCAAAACATTTTCCCCCAAAATTAAAGTATCTAGACTGGACTCGACTCTCAGCTAATATGATTCATTCTTTATAACATTTCAGGATACTTTAGCTCACTATGTCCCGTTCAAAGATGATTTGTTTTTTGGGTTTGGAAATAGATTTCCTGTGACTGCTACAATACAGGCAAAGGAAGGTTAAATGATTAAACATTACTTCATTGGGTTAATCATCAGATCTCAAGAATTGGAATGGAAATAAGAGGCATAAAAAGGTCAGTGCTGAAATACTGATTCACAAGTCTCAGCTGGCGGCTTGAGGAAGTTTGCTTCATATCTGCCTTCAGTAAAATGGCACATTTTATGGATACCAGCATTTCATTAGCACATGTTGCAAAAGCAAAAAAAAAAAACACCCAAACTTCCAAACCTAAAGGGATATGATTTTAAATATACATTTTGGTACAGCTTTGAGTATGGCCAATCTTCAAAAATACCTTTTTCACATGGACAATCCATCCCTAAAAAAAAAAAAAGCCCTCCTTCCTGAGAGAGTGAATGGACAATCTTAACTACCAGGCTTCACCCCATCCCTCTGTTTTATCTTCTTTCTATTTATAATTTAATCTTTATTTCTTCTTTCTCCCTTCATTGTAAAATAAGTTGCTCAAGCTCTCCTGCATTTGGGTGAAGAACATCTCACTAGATTTAGTTAACAAGCTTGAGGAAGGGAAAAAAAAAAAAAAATTGTTGCTCTTTTCTCTCTGTAACACTGATTTATTATCAGAAAACAGAATGGTCACAATTTATTGTTCACATTGGAATTGTGAAGCCTCTTTTTTTCTTAGAGATTGCTGATGGATCCATAGCAAGTAACTAGCTGATGGTTACCAAGGAGCTCTGCATAATCAGCACTGGATTGAATCCCACAGTCCTTACAGAAACAACCCCTGAGACTTCGACAGAGGAGAGTTTCTTGAAAGATGGCACAGCTGGGCCTATAACAATCACATAATGTAACAGTTTAAGTTCTAATATGAAGCTGCAGTGTGTTTCTAGGAGCACCAAGCAAGCTATGATCCCTATCACAAACCAAGTCTTCCCCCCATGCAGCGGTGATGGGTCAATCACTGACAGATATCATCCAGAGTTTGAATTATTTGAGGCCCAGAAAAACTTTTCCTCTATCACTACCTATTTTTTTTTTTTCCTGCTGTAAATACGTCAAGCACTTTACAAATACATTGGTAATACTGGTATATTGGTGGATATAGCACAAAGAGGAAGGCCGGTAAAGAAGGGAAAGAGTATATGTGACTAAATTCAGTCATAAATTCATAGTGTATGCACTCTCCACCAGTAAGAGC